GAGGAGGAGGAGGAGGAGAAGAAGAAGAAGAAGAACAACAACAACAACAAAAACAACAACAACAACAAGAAACAGAACAAGAACAAGAAAAACAAGAAGAACAAGAAATATAAGAACAAGAATAAAACGGAGAACGAAAACAAGAAGAAGAACAAGCACAAAGAGAAAAAGCACAAGGAGAAAAAGCACAAGGAGAAAACGAAGAAAAGCAACAAAAATAAGAGCAAGAACAAGAAGAAAAGCAAGAACATGAATAAATGGTCGCTTTTAAGGACAAGCGGGCTAACCCAGATTTCGGGAGTTTCCAGAAATCTTGAATTACACAAAAAGTGGGCATTGCCCTACCTATCGGAGACGTTTGGTTTCATTGGTGTGTATATTTGTTTGGTTATAGAATAAAACTGTCCTTGTTTTTTTAAGAAACTGAACAAAAGGCAAAAACTTTACCTTCGATTTTCAGATCAGCACTTTTCGGGATAGCCCCCTTGTGTTTAAAAGCGACCAAATATACAATGCAATCTCCTCACCCGATGTCCGAGCTTGACCAACTGTATGAGTTCCTCCAGACTGCCGTAGGTCGGGAAACCGTCGTAGTCAGTGGAGTAGACCCTCCTCCAGCACTGGTCGCCGTACCAGTCCAGGGACACGAAGTCATTGTTGTGCTTGTACAGCGTCGTGTTGCTAAGGTACCATCTTGACACGTCACGACGGCCATTAGTGGCCCACACAGCCAGCCAGTTGTAGTAGGGTGCCTCGTTGTACTAGTGACGGAATTGAGGATTAACATTTTTTAATGCATTTTTAATTTTGCCTCTTAGGTAATATTTATCGATTATTTCTTTTGGCTCATCGCCTTTTATGTCCATTAAATGATAAATACTTTTTTGTGTGAATTTTACTGAAAAAAAATATGGTACTGGATCTTTACCAACAACAAAGCCTCTTTTTTCCATCCACTAATAAAAGTTAAAACACAATACTACACTGTTTGATCGAACAGGTTGCAGGTCACGTTTCATTTCGCTCCTCGATTTTCTGGCTCTTTTATGAGCTTTATATCAACTAAGGAGTTGTTTATGGTATGTATATTTGTATCTTGTTCTGTTGATATATGTGGCAAGGTTCATTAAGTAATTACTTAATTAGTTTACTTTTGCAACTTTTCACTACGTCTGTTCATTCACTCTCTTTTAACGCTTCCCCTGTAATCAAAAGACAGGCTAAATAGTTTCTTCCTCATCTTCCTTACACACGTGCGTTAACCACTGAGATTCAGCAATCGTATCTGATTAATCTAGGAAGTGTCTCCTCTAGGTTTAATGAATGCTTCCCTGTAAGTTGACATTTAAGAATACTGTCAGGTCTTCTGAGGCAATAATATAGAACGAAAAACTCATAGGGCTTGCTGTTGAGCGGGAATTTGCGCTATACAAGCTGGGCATTAATTAATCATCAGTATCATCTCACCTTGACAGCCGAGGACGTGTATCTGAGGCTGATGTGATTGAGGCTTTGGGCGGTAAGCAGCTCGTTGTCGTATGTCTTGGTGTTCTGAACCAGGAAGGAGTAACCTCGATCTCGCATGCTCACCCGCAACTCGGACCATTTGGACAACTTTAGTAACTGGAAGAAGACACGCAAGATTTTAAAGAAAAGTTTTAGTACGAGTATTACGGCACTTGCAACTCAATAAGGTCATATAAATGCCGAATATTATTAGAGGTGTCACAAGAGAGTAACAAACATAACACGATGGAGGAGAAATCAGGATGATAGAAGTTTGATAGGAAAGAAGGAGCAAACCACACCAGAGTACCCCCTAACTATGCAACAATGAAGTAGAGAGGGGATTTCGGACAAACACAACGCTCGTAACTCAAACAACATATTAAAATTTACAAAAGAAAAGGCGAGAGAAAGTAAGTAAGAAAGAGAGGGAGAGGGAGAGAGAGAGAGAGAGAGAGAGAGGGAGACAGACAGAGAGACAGAGAGACAGAGAGACAGAGAGACAGAGAGATAGAGAGACAGAGAGACAGAGAGAGAGAGGGGGGTAGGAGGGTAGAGAGAGTAGAGGGTGCGACAGAGAAAGATATCGAG